AACAAAGTTATATGCATAGGCAGAGAGACGTACTCAGCCAGAACAAAATAAAATGAAATGTCTCCCCATCGTCCATTTTGTCTTGGTTTCTTTCCACCCTAAATGTCTTATCATATTCTTTAGATTTGATATTATTGAAGATCTATTACCCGAGGGAATATCAATCGGTATTTACAGTTGCATCTGAGAATTTTACTTTTGCATTTTTTTTTATCGTGGGTTTATTTCCGCTTGCTTTCCTTTTTTTTCTCTTCTTTCTTTCTCGTTCTCTTTCTGATTTTTATTACTTTTTTTTAACAATCTTTCTTTCCCAATTCATTCTTCTTTCCGTTTGGCATCCCATAATTTCTAACTCTTTTTCCTGTATCTTAAATATCATTGCATTTCCTTTTTGTACTTTTTCTTTCTGTCTTTCTTAATTTTTGACAATTTTTTTCATTCGTCACCGCCAAAAAATGCTGCCAAGTACTTCTCCCACTTCTCGACTCCGAAAAAAGCCTTGACCAGCCTAACATTTACCATTCCCAAGAACACTTTCGGTCTCTTTAATGTCACAGAGATTCCTCCAGTTACAAGAATGAAGAAAACCAGTCCTCAGTAGCCACTTTCCTTTTTCGTTGGAATATCTTAAAGATTTTCACATTGTCGTTCGATTCTTTTACGACGCCTAAACCGTTCCATTGTAAATTTTTCAATGGTTTCTTTCTTTCTTTCTTTCTTTCTTTCTTTCTTTCTTTCTGTTTCTACAGAAGAGCAGCAAACATACGTCTTTCTTTCTTTCTCTTTCATTCTCTCCTTACAACAATCTCCACTCTCGTTTTATATGATTCTTTCTTCTTTTGCTCGCTCACAGCAAACAGGGACTAAACTGAAATGTATTAAGTCTATGCAACATGTCATAACAAAGAAGTAGTTTTCACATCTTTTTTTTTTTTAAGAGCCCTGGGAACAGTTATATATTTTATGATCCTCCTGCCAGTTGATCAATAATCGGTATTTCGTTATTTGGACAAAAATAAGTTTCTGTGTAACTTTTGTAACTTCTTAGAAGAATCATGAACATTTCAAATAATATTTGGAAGACTAAAATCAGGAAAAGAAAGATTGTCTGGCACAACACAGTGAACCAACTTTCCTAGCAGCAGACCTACCAATTGATTCGAATGATTTAATATAATCATTCGATTTCATGTAAGCGGAAAACGTTAATTGATAAAGATTTAAAGAGAAAAATCTGCTGCCAATAATTGTTTGCATTTGTTTTAATCACATTTTCGCGGGAAAATCAGCTGTGTAAGCTATAAACAAAGAAATGAGTACTGAACTTTTACTTGATATCTGTCCACCTATATGGCAGTGAATGTAAGACAATCTCCTCAAATATGAAGAAATGCGGTTTATCAGAAGGATCATGAGGATACCATGGACCAAATTTCAGCAGGTGATAAATATTGATTAATTTATTTTTAGCCTGGAACCAGGCTAAAGCTAACATCTACACTTTCTAGCCTGTTACATTCATTTTCGAATTAATAGCTCCTGGAAAGATATGATTAAATCTCGTCTGCCCCACAAACTAAAACGAGTTTGAACTCTCTAGCCTTGAGTGGCTGTCAGTCTAGGAAAAGACAGAGAGAAATCACTACACCATTATTCAAGACGTTATCGCAGTTATCAGTTAATAAAGAAAGAGCCATGATCGCTTATTTTCTGAATAGATATGACGTTAAAATAGTCGTAGAAGCTGTGTTTCTATATTGTCGAACGTCAGTATATCTGCATGTCAAATATGATATTCTTTTTCAGCACAAATCAAGTTCATACTGCATGAACAACTTATCAAGCTTTCTTAGGCGTCCAGCTATATACGGCTTCATATTTAGATTTAATGAACCTTTCCTGGTGTCGCCTTGAAAGTTACCTTGACCGCGAATTTGTTTCTGTCTAAGGTCACAGAGATTCTTCCAGCTTTTAACTGAAATGGTGATTATCCTCATGAGCATTTTTCTCTTTGAAATATCATAAACGGTATGACGGAAAGAGATAGCAGGTGAGGCAGAATGATTGACAGACAATCAAAGATTTAGAAACAGTTTAACAACATTCATATGCCAAAAATAAATATGATTTCAAATTTCAAAATATTATTATGGATTACTTGTAATTGCATGCATGAGTCCCAGTATAAATAGTTATAAATAATTGATTGATTTTATCATTGTGATATTTTTGCATTATATCAAGTATTAAGAATATAGTAATTAGGATCTGCAAATTGGAGGAGAGAGTTATCAATGATAATGTTCTGACTTCGAATCCACAGTTATCGCCCTTTAAGCCTCTTTCTGGACTTTCTTCACCGGGACTTCCCTTCCCTGAGCCGGTGTCTTCGTACATGTACGTTTTATCGCATAAAATTTGTTGAGAGGCGTGCAAATTATTATTACGAAAATGTGGCATAAAGAAAAAATGTTGGGGACCACTGTTTTAAAGACTCACTAATTAAGCCACATTTTTACACGCCAGAATATCGTGACTTCGATCCTTCCTGAGGATCGGAGTAATTATTACGGTGGGTGTCCAAATAATTTAATGACAAATCGTTTCATAATGCACGTGATCGTGGCTCTTTATTTGCTATCAGTAAATCGCCATGACTACTTGGAAAAGACATTGGAGTGGTTTTTCTTTTTCTTTTCCTAGACTGGATCCCACTCAAAACTAGTGAGATGAGTCTACAAAACTATTTAACACATAGTTTATGAAGACACAAAAGGTACCGAAAATTGAAACAAAAAAAAAAATACTATGACGGAATTCGAACTTGACGCGAATATAAACCTTAAATGTTCCAGTAGTGTAGTTTTTAAAGTTGTTGCGAATGAGTTCCGTCGTCTGTATATTATGCAATACATTATTTTGTACTATATGGATTGCTAAAATGTACGCTGAGAAACAATCCTTGTCAAGAAATATCAGTTTTAAATTTAACGCAAATTGAATTCAGTCTACAGGAAAAATCTTTTAATAATTATAAAAATCAAAATCTGGTATTAATTTCCAAGCGATGGACATTAATGGTTTAAAACAATCTTTCTTTTTTTTTTTTTACTGTTACTTAGTGATAAATATTTGTTGGGCTGATCTGAATTTAGCACAAAGATTTATTCGATTGACATGTATTGAGGATCTTACTTACTAGCGTTGGCGTTTCTCGGTCACATAATGAGGAAAGAAGTCTTAGAAAAATTAACACTCACAGGACTTGTTGAAGGCAAGAAGGGCAGACAAAAACAGCACATTGAAACACGTTCTAAATTTAAAAGATTCTAACTAAAATTAAAATAGTGTAACTTAAATTTTTATAACTTGAATGAAAACAAAAATAGACAAAAATACATTCTGTTTAAACATCATTGGCTACATTATACACTTGAAAAAGGTTGGAGAGTGTACTGGTTAACAAATTTAATCTCGCAAATCATCACGACTGAAATAAATCCAGTTCTCATTGTATGTAACTACTCCCTGTGACCTTGTGCCAATCTAGTCTATGTTTAATAAATATCTGTTTAGTACTTATTCGTAGAGCTAGTTAAACTGATCACTGCTATAAAAGTTCGATCCAGTAATCATCAAGGAAATTTGATCGGAATGCTGTATTTCACAAGCGATCTTGTTTAGAACAATTCATAAATAAGGTAGAAATTCATGCTTCAGCGATTGTAGCGACTGAAGCATCAAAACTTGAAAATCATAATCTGAATTCTTTATGGAATTAAGAATTTATATTTAAGTCTAAGTTTTCAGAAAACACTAGTCAGAATACGTCAAGATGGCGTCTCAAAAATCTTCTGTGACGAAACAAAGATCAGAGGCTCACTCGTATTTTCGACTTCACATTCGATCGGCATCTAATGGTGATTTTACTGTCTTTTTATTAATAACTATGCGTCTGTTTTGGAATCCGTTGTGCAGTGACTGAAAAAGTGGACAGTTTCAAAGTTCGGCTTTATTTTCTGATATTCAAATCTGGCTAGCCTTACAACTTCAGAAAAGACTATCTTAACATAAACAAGGCACACTCAGTACACTCATGTACTTCTAAATTCTGCAATAGCCACAAAGTATGAAAGCCTTGTTGTTCTCTATTTCGTATGCACCAGTTTATCTCGCGAGATAATAGTTGCGTTCTTTTGGTCAAAGTTCAGTTTTTGGAGACCTATCCTGGTTACAAGTTTGGTCGATGGTCTATGAAGGCTGTGCGCAGTTCAAACCACACGCTTTCTTTCTCGGACGTGCTAGTAAAATCCAAAGGAATACAAAGCATTACATTTTGAGGAAGCCTGTTTACAGCCAACCGTCTTAAAGGCCCCAGGTTCTGCTTTTCTGTTTGGATTTACTTCCATAGCCTTTTCCGTGTTTGTATATGACTTTTCTTTCCTCACGATGGAGACTGCCTTCCCGGACAGATGAGTGTTCCGTCTTCGTCTCTTCTCCGGCTTTGTTCTGGACTTAGTTGTCAAAAGCTTAAGGCGCAGGCCATGGGATCATCTTATAGACACTGGGAGCATATCCCCAGTACCACTTCCGGATACGACAACATTTGGAAAATATACAATGTACATATATATAAACGTTACATATATTTTAGAAGATCCCCCATAATTAAAAGTTTCTTTAAAGATATGCATAACATTAGACAGTGAAAATCACTGGGTTACAAGACCAACTGCAAAAGTGTCGAAACTTAAAAATGTAAATGCAACGTCAATCGCCTCCTTCTGTCTTTTTGAATCTCGTTTATATTTTGTCCTTTCCTCAATTTCCCTACTTCCTAGTAGGCTTTATTGCCTTGATTGGGGTGAAATGATTAAATTTAAAAAATAAATAAAAATGATCAAACTTTTCGATATTTGTGTTTGTTTATATTCCACACTTTTGCAGTTGGTCTTACCAACGACAATGTTTAAAAAAAGTTTGATCAAATAACGTTGAAACCCGGTTCTCATATGATCACCGAAGTTAAGCAACGTTGAGCCTGGACACTACCTTGATGGGTGACCACTTGAGAATGTGTTTGCATATAATGAATCGGGATTGTTATTGAGAGCGGAGTTCCAATTCATTTACGCGCAATTAACCTTAGGAAAGGTAGGGATCCGCCTCTTCTCCCTCCAACTATGGGTTAATTAGTAAGAGTTTTATCACTAAATCGTTATCATCTCAAAAAAATTATTTTAATCTAAAATTATTTCTGGTTTTAAATAATTGAAAATGGTTGACAAGATCAAAAAAAGAATCCATCAATTAATAACACGGAAAAAGTTGAAAGAAATAATAAGCAATACATATATAAATTCAAATATATATAATAATCATATATATATATATATATATATATATATATATATATATATATATATATATATCTCATGCGGAGGCACGGTGGAGCATTTATATTCTCTTACGTGTTAACAAAAAGAAAGGGGTGAGAAGAGGATACATACCTTTCCCAAGGGGGTATGAATCCTCTTCCTCTTCCCTCAGCTATGGGTAAATAGCAGGACAGACTGGGTTCTATAACCTTGAATGGCAATCGATCTAAGAGAAAAAGAAACTTTCAAAAACGACCTCAAGATGGTTGGGTTCCGTCAGGATATCTTGCCCAAGAAACACCTCCTCTACTATGGCTGCAATACACATGGTGCCCCTACGACCCTAGGGGTCACCGGATATATATATATATATATATATATATATATATATATATATATATATATATAATCAATGAAATAAAAAATAAATCCGAATTATATTGAATTATTACATTACTTTTTAAGAAATACTTTTTTAAGTTAATTTTTGGGAATTTTCGAAAAAACGCATCATTTCTGTGAGTTTAGATCGTCAAAGCTCTTTATTAATCTTTATTATTAATCTTTATTATTATCTTTATTAATCCTCATAATTCTGTCGTCTTTTTATTGTTTTCATCTCCGTCCTACTCTCTCTTGTTTTCCCTTCTGATTCTCCCTCGAACTTTCAATGTTTCTTTTTCGCCCTCCCGCTCACTATTTTTCACCCTCCTACTCTCTCAGATACCTTGGGGTTCAGTAATGGCTGATGAAGGTCCTATATTTGACCATTTTTGTTTAGAAACGAGTTCGATTCTCACCGGGAGTTTCGCACCAAATTCGACATGAAATTGTAAAGTTGAAAAATTAACTATTCTCTCGTTTTCTCTCTCTATTCTCTCTAACCATTCTCTCGTTTTCTCTTTCCCCACCCTATAGTCTCCCTATGTCCGTCTCGCTTTCTTTTTCATTCTCTCTACCATTCTTTCGCTTTCTCTTCCACCCCCACTCTATTCTCTCTACTGTTTTCTCTTTTACCACTCTGTATTCTCTCTACCTCTCTTTCTCCGCTCTCTATTCAATGATATTTTCTCGCTTTTTCTTTCCCCTCTCTCTTGTCTTCCTGCTCTTCTATATTGTCTTCTATTTTATCTACCTCTTTCTCTTTTCTTTTTCATAACTGGATATAATTATTTTCCCACTCTTTCTTTTCGATTCACTCCTCTCTATCTATTCTTAGTTCTCCCTGCCATTCTCTCATTTTCTCTTTCACCACTCTCTATTCTCTCTATTCGCTTTCTCTTTCATTCTCCATACTACACTCTCTCTCTCTCGATTTTCTCACGATATTGTGTGTAAGAGCCCCTCCCACCTCAAGCTTTTAGTTATCCAATCACATCACGCCTTTTCTTTTCTCTTTCTTTCTCCGTTATTTATTCTACTTTTCTTTCAATTTCTCTCTGTTTCTACCTGCTCTTTGCTGACTGTCCGCTTCACAAAAGGGCCAGAGGCCTCCACTTATCACTTCCACCTGAGTGGTCCTTAGCGTCACTGGCACCAAAGTAATCACGTGACATTCACAATCAAATTTTTAGATGTTCAACAATATTTCAGACACCGTCAACAATTCTTAACCTCTTCTAAGGATCGGCATTTTTCTTTCATTTCCTCTTTTTTTTCCCCAAACTCATTTTTTTCTCTCTTTCTTTTTTTTTTAGTCTCATCATTCTTTCCTTATATTATTCCTGGGTATGATGATAAACTACATCCGACAGCAAGGCCTCGGATTGGAAGATTGGAGTTTTTGAAGAGAGTGGAATTGCCGTTGTTCCCAAGTCCAGCCTGACCCGGGGTGGCAGTACGTGTTAGGGTCCCAATTAGGGGCAAATAGCGGACCCCAAACAAAAACAAAATACTATAAAAGTATAAAAAATATATTTTTATATAAAATAATTACCAACAATGCCTATTTATTGCAAAATTACCGACAATGCTTATTTATAGTAAAATGACCAACAATACATTTGATCTGTAGCTGAAGGCATACAGTTGCATTCAAAATATGTTTAGTTGAAGCCATAAAATTGTGTTCAAAATATTTAAATTTCGGCATTAAATAACCCATAGAAGTGTTGATATGCCGATAAACAAAATTAACCAATCGACTATCCTTATATAATCCTTATATCTCCTTTTACTTTCTTTTCTTTCCACATTCTTTTGCTTTTCTCCTTATTCTTTCTTTTTTTCACTGCCATATAGGACGATTGATATTACATAATAGTTCAATTTAAAGTTTCAATGGAAATTCGCGTCTTCTTCAGAAGATGTAATATGAATATGGATATAAATAAATAGCGAAATATAAATTTAATAATATCTAATTCTTTTTTGTTAATACAGAATCTCCAGCTGTGTTTTTCTTATTTAACCTGAAAAGCAACCACGCGCATACAAGTGCATTCTCTCTTTCCCTTTTCTCTCTCGCTATTTCTCTCTCTTTCTCTCTCTCTCTCACTCACTCACTCACTAACACACACACATAAATGATGAAGTATTGATTCATGAATGTATTAGTTGAATGTATATTAAATTATCTCCAGTGGTTGGTGTTCGAGCCGGGGGAAAGGCTGTTATTTCGAATGCATATTCTGAAGGTAAGAAAACCCGCCCTATCGGGGAGACTAGATACACCACCATTTATCTGTGTATAAATACGTATTTACTTTCTTTGTAGGCATGATTTTATTCTGTGTAGAGATGCATGCATCACAATGTAAGCGTAAATGCATGTCGGCATACGCATTTATGACTGGTTACGTAATAGCTTCAGTGCTGACAAGTAATTATAGACAATTTGCAGAATCTCTTGCCAAGCTCAACGGCAAGAAAGCGAAAGCATTTGCCAGGGGACATAACTCTGCATTTTGCAACACATCTCTCTTATTTGATTGGAGGTTTGCCGATCAGAACAGTACAAATCTCTGATTACGCGAACACAGAGGGCAGTTTTCATTTTTATCATAGGTTTAGATTTCTCGCATAATGAAGTATTTTCATGAAGCAACTCCCCTTAAGCTGGTAAGCTGATCCCCCCCCCAACTCACATACAAAAACGAATGCTGATAGCATATCAACGGGACGGACCTCTCAAACCAGGACAGTCTCGGTCAAATCATTTAAGGATATATATATATATATATATATATATATATATATATATATATAATTTCATATGCGCAGTACTTAGTGGAAAACGCTCAATATGTGATAGAGATAACATATTCAGTTGTATGGATATGATTTTGTGACCCTGGGTTTCACGCTTGTCTGATGATCGCAAAAGCGTAAAACCCAGGGCCCACAAACCCATATCGATACAACTGAATATATATATATATATATAAATATATATATATATATATATATATATATATATATATATATATATATATGAATACGATGTCGGTTTTAAAGAGCACCATGATGCCAGAAATTTGGAAACGACATGCCGTACTGCTTGGGTGTCAAACTGAAGACAGTGCAGAAGATTCGGAAAGAGTTGGATGAGTCTAATAGTGATTACGATGGTACAGCAGCTTGAAAAACTCGTTCTGGTCGTTCTGATAAGAAAATAACACCCGAATTTGTGATGGCCTCAGAATCAACATGGTAATCTCTTGAGGAGGTAGCGCTGCCCTGGGTCAAGAGGTTGGCTGTTGGAAGACCTTAGGTCTGGCAACAGGACACTGCATAATTCCACACAAGCAAGAGATTACAGTCATGGCTGTCAGACAATTTCTGCGACCACATCACCCCTTACATCTGGTTCCCTAATTCCCCAGACTGCAAACCCCTTAATCCAGTGTTTATTATGGGCGGGGTGCAATTGAGCCAGAGTCCAACAAAACTACTGGTAACATCAAAGAAAATATAAAAATAAATAATTATCGGACTTTATCCATTTCATAATGTGACGTCATATATATATATATATATATATATATATATATATATATATATATATATATATATATATATATATATTTAAGTTATGAAGAACTTGGTAAACCGTATGTGTAATCCCAAGGAGGATGAAATCCTGAGAGCTCAATGTAAATCCAGAGCTAATATTTAAAAGAAAAACAGACCACTTTAAGGTACCATTATAATAATTTATTTCACCAGAGTCCTTTTAAAGGACGCCGGATCATCAGATGGCACTTCCAACAACGAAATGAAACGAAAAATGAGATTAAAATTGATGGGTAGTGTAAGTTTTTGAGGGATAGTTAAAGAGACAAGGTAGAGTATAGGAAGGGGTTAATTTCATATCTCTCTCAAGTGTGCTTTATATTGGGGTAGGAGGAGTGACCAGACCTTGACCTATTTAGATGGTTAACTTAACGGAAATGATATATAGTAATGGGAGGGAATAGGGAGAAAAGAAAAAATAACAGTAATACAGATATATACAAATGAGTGTTACAGCAAGGAGAGAGAGAGAGAGAGAGAGAGAGAGAGAGAGAGAGAGAGGGGAGATATATATATTAATCGTAATACTCGTTTGGAAAAAAACCTCGGATATCACAACTTATAGATATGTCAAAACAAATAGGTACCCGAGAAAAAATTGGAAATAAAAAAAGAAAGAACTAAAAAATTCCGAACAGGGCGAAATAAATCGTCCAGTGCCTTAAGTCTTTAGTCTAAAGAAAC